GACACACACACAGACACACACACAGACACACACACAGACACACACACACACACACACTCTGGCTGTAGAGCCATCTATCCTCCAGGCAGCACAGGGACTTTTCATATTTGCAGCCTTTCTTATCACATTTCCACAGTAGCTGGTCCCAGGTCCATCCATCAGGCTGTAAGAGGCTGCAGGCAGCTCAGCTCCACACCTCTCTGCAGCACACATCCAGCTGCCATTAGCAGCTCTCATGGTTAGTCAGGACAAGTTGAAAGCCTTGTTCCCACGTCTGTGTGTTCTGCAGCACCTGCAGCCTGCTGTCTGACCTGGTCAACACTTACCATTAAAAACCTGCTGTGTTTCCACAGGACAGTTGGGACACTTTCAGTCAGGGCTCCAGCACTAACAGTAAAGTCTGGTAGAAGCAACAACTAATGAGCAGAAAAGCCTGAAATATTTCACTACTTTCTCTGAAACTCACTTCAATGACAGCTGGGAAACCCTGAAGTCCAAACATGGTGAAAGGTTTCCTTCTGAAACCGATGTCAGTAAATCTGCATTAGAATATTGTAAAAATAGATTTAGTGTTCTGACACACATGTACCTGTTCAGATCTACCACAAGTTAAGAATAATATGTGAATGTTTGAGTGGTCTGTGCGAGGGTCTTCAACACATCTGTGTGGACTGATCAGSAGGTTTATTTCCTCAAAGCCCAGTGTAACCCACCCAATGTTACTGCTTTTACAACTTCTAAAGATCAGAGGATAGGGTTATCTAAGTCTAGGTTCTGAGGAGAAGTATAGCTGTAATTAATCCTTTCTGTGACTTATAGGATCTACCCCAATGACACACAAGAAACAATCTAACTTTAAATGAATAGAAATTATATTATTTTTCAATATCAACTCAAATGGCATTCACGAAATCAATACAATCAAACAAAATACAACCAAACATAGTACCTCTGAGATATCAGGAAAAAAAATAATAATCAAACATTCAAGTAAATCAGTCACCTCTGAGTGCACTCAGGAAAAAAAATTGTCCTACCACCCCTTTTGATACCCAACGTTCATGAAAGGAACATCCAAGGAAGTTGTTGCAGCCCTGTTAGTAGGTGGTGAACAGACCAAGGATCCAGGCACCTGGGCCACTGAAGGTGACGGGACGAACACGAACTCCAAAGGTCCAAATCCAAAAAAAATTACGCCTCTAAAAAAACCAGTCTGCACTAAATGTGCAGAGAATTATTAACTGTAATTCACAACTAAGTGTCATTGTCTCTTTTAAACTATTGCTCTATAATCCACTTAGAACTGAAACTTGTGGCAAAACAGCAAAATACACAAATTCACATTTTACTTATACTCAAAATTGAATATTTTTTATATTTGTACAGTGCAATTGGTTATTAAAACATTTAAAATGCAATAAACAAAATGGAGCTAACATCTTACACAGTACATTTTTCCTTATGCTCCAGATGATGGTCTGTGCTAACAGTTTATGAAGGTCTTCCATAACAACAACAATAAAAACAGCAAAAATACACTTTCACACTGTGAATAACTACCACAGTTATCTTTCAAATTATCTCGACYGGTTTTTTGCAACAACAAAACTTAGTTATCAATTTATTTTTTTCCACTATATGGTTTTTCCCAGTGACTACACACGTGCCAATTACACAAAATGGCTGCTACAACTCACCGAGACAACTTCACATTCAACTGATTCAGGTTCGAGTTCCAACGTAGTTCAATAACATTCACAAGATCTCCAGATGCATCTGGTTCATCTAAAAGCAGTTATAAGTTATTTTCTGGATCATTTTTGTTCTTATATCAACATATATATGTTATTTCAACTTTACCTCCCGCATTTCTGCTCGTTTCTCTGGCTGTGTCCAAAACAGCAGGCCGGCTCCTCCGAAGGCCGAGTTCGTTGGCCACATACGTCACAGCGCCGCGACGAAGGACGTCCCAAACCGAAGACTCCTCCGATGCGGCCGACAAATACGTCCTTCATTCGGCCCGAATCGAAGGACAGGTCTGATGGATCCTTCCCGGCCCAGCATATCCCATAATGCATTGCGGCCCGACCGGAGATTTTTTTTAAGCTAGTAATGGCGGACGAAGCGAGAGAAAAGAATACATTTTAAATAAAAAATATGGCGATAAAATTTTTTTAAAATTTTACCGGTTGCAATTCTAATACTTTTATTATTTGTATAGACATGTTTTTAAATATTATTTTTATCATAAAAAACGCGAAATAAACATACACCTACAGTGGGTCAATTAGTTCTTCAAATGTTAACTTTAAGTTATTTTTATTGTTTTGTGATATTAATAATACTAATATGTTGATATTTTTTAAAATTTTGATCTATTTTTGCTTCTGTTTAGCGTCGTCATGGTTGCTAGGTGACATGACGTACGCCGGGGTGGAGCGGAGGCTAGACCGTCCAAATTCACAGCCTCTTTTATTCCGGTCTTCCCGGTCTACCAAGGACCTGGCCCACCTCGACAGGGTAGTCTGGGTCCTCCGGAGGACCCGGCCTGTCGTTTTGGACACAGAGCTCCGGTTCAGAACAAGGACAACGTCAAAGAAGTTGCCAGAAAGAAGGGCCTTCAATATGGCGGTTTTAGTRCACTGCCACCGAGTGGCGGAAACAAGAATTGCACTTTCACAACTTTTTTAAACACGACCACTGCATTACTTGCAACAATAAAGGGGATTAAATTACGAGGGTTACACCAGCATCCAGATAATCAGTGCAGAACCAGGAAATACACATTGATTTACCACCGTCTTCACATCCTGACCCTGCCTCATGACTGTGTCTTAAAGGGTCAGGCTATTTCTACAGGGAGGCAAGACATCATTTATCCCTCACTGCTAATGATCCATCACAGTTTGTAAGGGTTAAACCAGGCATGTATCTAACTAACAGCCTCCTGAGTCTGTGAAACCCTCATCAAGAGCCCCACAACCCAGTCTGCACACAAATCATCAGTTCAAGCAGAAATAACCACGTAATAATAAGATATTACTGTTCACCTAATGAGAACTATACTATGTGAAGTGTCTTTAAAATCAGAGGGTAAACTGACCCCAATAGATTTATTCAATATGTTAAAACTAAGATTCAGATCTGTTTTCTAAAGGTTAACAAGTCAGATCAGTCTGACACGTGGAGGTTGAAACAGCAGTTTCTGACTTTTTACCAGATTTAATGTGATGTGTAATGTTTATGGTCTCTGAAAACTTCCTACTAGACAGATGAGCATTTATTACATCACTCACCTAGCCTTTAGCTGCTTTAAACCTCATATATTTAGCTACTATCAGCTACACCTGTCCAACTTTCCACTTGTGTTCCCCAAGGCTCTGTCCTCGAGCCACTTTACTTCATCATATATCTGTGCTCTCTCTTCAGTCATCTCTATAAAATAAAATCTAGAGTGATGGTTTCTCTAGCTTAGACAGGCTTTTCTTGGTTTTCCAACTCAACAAGGACCCTGCCAGTGTTTTAATCTTATGGTTTTACCTTAAAGAGACCTCTGTGTTCTGAAACGCTCCTAAAAACCAAATATGTCATTAAGAGATGAAATAAGAAATACAAAGCAGTCGTTCTTCCTGAATACAGCCAGAGACTGAAGGCAAAGCTCAAACTGCAGATATTTCCCCCAGTGGACATGATTAAAATGTTCTTTTTCCTGACATATTTCTGCACCRCCTGTCATGAGCACACGAGGGATTGAGAGATTCTCTGAGAAAGAGCTGAGTCCACATCCAGCTGCTGGATTTAGAGGCTGCTAGAGATGCAGAACCTTTTATTGACGGTTCATCAGCTACTTTCACATCTATCCCAAGGCCTGACTCAGACTTTAGAAGGTTCTTGTAAATCCCCCCAACATAGACTCGTACCTTCCATGGTCTCACACCTGACTTCTTTCAAATCTATCATGAAAGGGTCATAACTCACGAAGCGTCCTTCACTTGCTGCTTCCTGCCACGCTGACTGTGCTCCAGATGGATTCATCATCTTGACAGTTTTGCCGTCTGTGCTGCTGCACATTCACTGAGCTCTTTGTTTTCCCTCAGAGACCTCATCAAGAAGCTTCTGGTCATTGATCGAGCCAGACGACTGGGCAACATGAAGGTGAGTGGTTGAAGTGGGCGTTTCAGTTTGACGTGTCAGACTCAGGACCAACTGGTCACTGGTGTGTTTCAGAACGGAGCTGACGATGTGAAAAAGCACCGCTGGTTTAAGATGGTGGACTGGGAGGCGGTTCCTCTGAGGAAGCTGAAGGTACGGCTGCTCTATTTAAAGAACCAACAGCCTATATGCCACAGACATCTGGTCCAGCACGTGATGCCACTCCCAACACTTCCAGTTCGTGGTCAACACAGTGTTAGTAAAAGATTTTTTCACCTGACAACAACTCTTAATG